TTCCTTATGATAAAAAATGACAAAAGAAAAATCCAACTTTGTTTTTTTTTTTTTTTTAAATCAAATTTAGTTTTTAATTTCTTAAAAATCCTAAACGAAGTCGGATTAAAAAAAACAAATATGGGGTTGTAGGGCTTAAAATTCCCTACAACCCAAATTTTTTTTTTTTTTTTTTGTGCCTATTATTTAATTCAGGAAAAATTTGGTAAAATCGCGTCCGCGGCGCGGACCCGGTAGGCCGCGGATGTGGCCGTGTATGCATCCGCCCTCCGAGCTCGACCTTGCGGACCCGTCCGCGGGTGTTACATAGCCGATACCAAATGTTGCATGCCTAGTTGGGCGATGTACATAGAAACAGAGGATCCGCAACGTGACAAAAAGGGCTGAATGGACAATGCAGTACAAGTAGAATCTAGAAAAGCAATGTGCATTCCGATACATACAGAATTGTGGTTTATAGCGCAGGGAAGACTTTAGATACAAGTCCTGACCTGACCAGGGCTGACCTCTTTCACGTAGTACAAGATAGCGAAGCAGAATGCTAGAATACTAATGACTACGCCAATCAATGTTTCAACGCAGACCAGACATACATCATGCTCATCACAAAATGTGAAGGAGCCTGACGCTATACACCGGGAAGAGGCGCGAGGTCCACACATACACAGACGAAGAGGAAGGGATCAGGCAAAGTAGAGGAAGGGGGAGATGAGAAAGTCATCAACACCAAGTCTCATTACAAGTCCCAAATAGTCCCTCTTCAAAATGTCTGAAGTCCCATGTCGAGTCTGGATCCAATGTCACCAAGCTCTCTCTCTCTCTCTCTCGTAGTCTGCTGATGCAGTGAACTGAAATAGCGAGAGGGTGAGAAGGAGATGGTGGACTGAAAAGAGGAAGAAGAAGAACTCTCTCTTTCTCTTGTATGCGAGGTACTAACCTGTGAAGATGGCGCTGTGTTGCAGGTACCTCAAAGACGAAGCTGGAGCAACGGCGCTGCAGGTAAGTATCCCTGACCTCCGCCCAATCTCTCTCTGTCTAGTGCTACTCTAGCTATGGCGCCCAGCGTTGAAGACTACAACTAACGCTACTAGCGCCCAGCGCTGAAGACTACCGCTAACGCTACAACTACTCCTGCAGCGCTCCTCCAGAGTGCTGCTGCCAAATCCTGTAGACTACTGACTGCTGCCTGCCTTGCACGTGAAGTGCCTGGGAAGTACCTAGGAGCTACCTCCCAACTACTTGCAGCCTGCAGGGTGGGCCAGTTTTATATAGTGCTGGCCCGTCCAGGAGGCTGCTCTTGCCAATGCCAAAACGTGCCAGACCCTGGGGTTGAAGATCAAACAAAGGTTGTCTTGAAAATAGGCCAAAAATGACCTGAGCTAAAACCCTGGTCTGGTGCCTGAGTTTCAGGGCAGGTCGAACTGATGACGGCTTGAAAATGACCCTCGGTTTCAGGCTGAAAATACTCAGAGTCGGAAAGACCCTGATTTAGCCTGAAACGACACAGGGCCCGTAGGCCCTCGTTTTCAGGCTTTCGGGCTGAAACGACACGGGGCCTGTCGGCCCTTGTTTTCAGGCTTTTGGCCCGAAAACAACACGGGGTCTGGAGGCCCTCGTTTTCAGGCTTTCAGGCTGAAAACGACACGGGGTCCGTACAGCCTGTTGCAGGCGCAGCATGTAACACATACTGAAGCCCATACGCTGGTTCCAGGAAGTCAAACTCAGGCCTGTCAAGATATCCTCACTTCAAAGGCAGACAGCCCATGGCTGCCCCCCGACTAGTAATTGGTTCGTTGATGACAAGAACCTGGAACAGCAGGGGCGGGCGCTGCCTTGGTGCCAAAAATACGTACAACACTTCCCACCGACAGAGAGGGCAGAAACAATAGAACACATATTTTTGCAATGCCATGCAGGAGTCCTCACATGGTGTTCAATTTGGTGGGATAGAATCGGTGGATTTTGGTACCGGGCACAGAATGGCCTTGGGACTGGAGGGCACTGTTGACAGGGTACTACCCCACCTTTCAAGACGACAATTTGTTTCGCTTAGGGAGAAGGTCGGTCTTATGGACTCTATGGTGGCAAAGGTGCATTTTGGCAATGGAAGGGGCAAGGGTGGAGAACCGTCAAGACACAGAACAAATTCAGCAAGTGGTTCAAAGTTCAAACAGAAATTACAAACCAATGGCAGGCAGCTAAGCAGAAGATGGGCTTTGTGCACAATGTCACCAAAAGAGACATCAACAACACCATTTCCCAGTTTGGAGTAGAATGGTTGGGTGGAGCTCGTGAAATATGGATTCGGAAGTGGAAGTCATCTAGTGAGAGGACACTCCAAGTTGAGCTTCTCCAACTCAAGGAGGGCAACAACAAGAGGAAGAGGAGCTTCTGGGATCTGCCTTGGCTAGCCTAAGTGTTACATGCTGAAAGCCTACGCACGGGCCCCTCACGGGACCCGAGGTTGGAATAGGGCCCCCAGGTCGCGTCACCGCAACCTGAAGGCCCTATGGCATTTTTACTTGGGCCT